TTATTAGCCGACTACCACTATACTATATGTAGTATATATATAACATAGCGATATAATAAGTACGATACAACTAATAATATATATATACATATATACGAATACACACACACACACACACACACACACATATATATATATATATATATAGCTACACAAAATACACACACATTATTTGAAACATTAATTAGATATATGTACACATATAATATATAAAATATACTTACCAACACCATAGTTCTCAGGAAGGCCTGAGTATATTCTAGAGTCATACTTGATCTTGATGTTCGTGTTAAAGCAATGTACCAAAATGAAGAGTAACTGTGTCATGCGCACTAAATATGAACTTCTGAAAATAGAGGCACGCCAAACTAAAGAAACGACCACTAGCAATTTCCACTATACGCCATATTGCTTGATGTATAATATGATAAACCTTATTGCTTGATAGATACATCCTAACACTCCGCTTGGTGAATATTAACTCGAAACACTTAGCTTGACAAGTACTATGTTAACATACAAAACTATGCTGACAAGAACAAATTCACTTACTTCAACGATGAACGCGGGGACGAGTCCGACTCCACCTCCGCCAAGTCTTCCTCATCCAACAACTGCGAAAGCCTCTTCTGTACATGAGCCCGTGCTCGTGCGGGTCTCATCTGTTGCTCAGTCATTTCCTCGTGGAGTTCGTCTTCTGTTTGCATCTCGCCAGGCTTTAACTTGACAGTTTCAACCTTCTCCTTGTACATATTTGGAATGTCCATGGTCTTATTACTAGGAAGCGATTTGCTGCACTCACTCTCCGGCTTTACACGTACTCTATCACCGTGCAAAGTAACTACTTTATAGTTTAACTGCGGAACGGGCACATCGGTAGGACCCTCTATAACCTTGTAGCTAAGATGATGATCCTTAGAAGATACGTCATCGCCTGCGCTTATGGTGTCCCCCTCCATTAGGAACTCCTCGTCGCCTTCCGGGTCGTACAGTACCGTTTTAGAGTTCTTGATTGGCACTGGGGCTGACATAGTGAAGCACCTCTGTGGGGATTTGCGAATGGATATAAATTGATACAAGTTTAATGAAGTTTAAAATGAAGGCGGAATGCCAACAAGGAGCCAATATATAACACAATGAAATTGCGTAAATACTACTTGGTGCTGACGCTCTACTATAGAGAAAGTGAGAGGTACATAATTTTAAAATATACTGCCCGAGTGCTCGGGGCCTTGGGCACATACATTCCACCAAGACTTCTGCGTTGAAATTTATAGCCCTTTTCCATTCATCAGTAAATAGCCTAAAATACAGGCGATATATAAATACACTCTCTATAGTATATACATTATACGGGCAACGGGGAGTCGGGGCCCATGGACCACAGCTACAGGCACCGGGGCCAGGCCGCCAGGGCTACAAAGGAGAGTTCGTATCACTCTATTCAGACTCTACAATTTTGAAGGCTATGCCGATAGCCCGATTCCGCAGTAACCGGATATTTACATACATACATGCTATTTTGGGTCGTCACAAGTTTTCGGCCAATGAGTGAGCAAGAAATTGGTTTAAATATTAACCAATGCATTAGAGGTAAAAAAGCTCCTTTATTTTTTATCCAGCTCTGCGTCACAATTTGGGCTGAACCCTTTACACTAGCCGTTATTTAAATTCGTACTTAACGTTTATGAGGTTGAGACGTTGAGGTCTTTGAGTAGTAGTAGTAGCTGTCAGCCACAAGTCCACAACGGACAAGAACTCAATAATCTCTGAAAACGTTTCATATACTTTCAGCTGATAGCCAGGGCAGGCAGCTGTATGTTAAAAATAGAGTTGGATATATATGTATGGAGTGGTGCCAAATACAGAGGTCCAGTAGAAATTATATAAAACGTGGCACTGAAAGCTCCTCTGAGATTTCTGACAGGCCATGAAGTCTGTGATTACTCAGTGCTCGCGAAGTTGCGAACTTTCTCGCTGTGTGAGTCACTCTGAGTCTGGGGAGAGTGGAGACCATTATGGGCCTCAGTCACAGAGTGACGCTGACGTGTGAGAGACGTCCGACGACCGACGCCGACAATCGTCGATGACTCGGTCAGGACTTCAGAACTCAGAAGTTAGGATTCAGTGAGTCAGACGGAACCGAGGCTTACTCATCAACGGTCTCACATTCACCCCACAGTCCCACATGACAGCGACACGGGTGACGAACTGACGACTGACGCGCAGGGAGTGACGAGTGAGTCGGCCAGAGCTCAAGTCGTTTCCCGTTAAATGTTTATAACTTGACACTGAAGGCGTTAAAGTTCAATTTCTATTCCATATGTGGTCCTATGGATTTTCATTTGGGTGCTTTTCAGAGGTTGCAGATTTGTCCTCATGTGAGCGCGCCCAAACTGACCGAATGACCCGCCTATACTTTTCATTGGCGGTCGTAGTTGGGATAATGCTTCCGATTTGTAAACAGGTTTACAGTTTTACAGCAATTTGATTCAGTTTCTATACTCAGTTTAGTGTCTTTTGATGGAGGTGAATATCGATAAGTGATATTATCACATAATATGGGATCATTACCACATTCACAATCATACATGCATTGATTCAACTTCTAAAACGATGCCACGTAAACCCGACCCCGTAGTGGAGGCTCACTTCTCGGAAGCTCCTCCTAATATGAGAATGAAGTATTTCAAGATACTCCGGAAGGCGGAACATACGTGCTTATCTATGCGGGAATCCAACGCACAAGCTAAACGAGAGCAAGCCCAAAAAGCCATTGCCTTCGACAAAACACAGAGTACTTTATGTGGATCGAAGAAGGGAGGATTCAGTGCTTCCTTCGTCAAGAAAGCGGACGACGCCTTCGTTAATTTGGTGTGTGCCGACCTTATTAGTGCCAACACTCTGAGATCCGCACATTTCAAGCGTGCAATTTCAGCTGCAATGAAAGTAGGAACTTCATACAAGCTCATCACGCCAGAAACAGTTATGGGTGACAAACTCGTATCCGCAACAATGCGAATTCGTAGTGCATGATATAGAATCTGTGATGAATTCGGTGGGTCAATGGCTACAGACTCTGCTACTGTAAAGGGACAACCAGTAACTGGCGTATGTTGGGTAGCAAGTTAAAATCAGTCTCTGCCAGAGTTTGGAATATGTCTTTATTAAAAGTTGATGACAAGGTGAAGGGGACTCGTGTGCAGGCGAAACTACTCGAATTTGTGCTGGATACGCTTCCCCGGCGCGATATTGATGTTATTGTTTACAATACAGACACTGCCGTTGATTGTCTTTCGACTGCTCCTATTCTTAAGGAACGACGTCCGCATCTTAATCATTGCCCCGATATTGCTCATGTAACTAATTCGATGCTGAAAAATGCTTGTGAGACTATCGAGGAAATTGCGGAATGGATGAAGAATGTGGATATTATATGCAAGTATTTTAACGGATCAAGCTTCCTACTCGCAAGCTTCGCCCGAGAGACTGCTAAAGTCAACAGGGGTAAGTACACACATGAATATCGAATGATCAACACTATCTATTATCAGTCAGAAAACAGTCTTACTTTGAGGCATTTCATTCATCATCCTGATAAATTTATCGTACAACATTGAAAACATACCAACTATTCAACATGTGAGTTCAGAATTTTAACACACACGCCCCATACATGCCTACTATTAACAGGACGTTCCTTAGACTTGCCTGCCGGGGAGTGCGAGTCTCGATTTGCTTACCAAGTGACAAGAGGCATGCGGGCTGTGATGCTAAAACCGTGTATGAGAGCAATATTTACGTCGTTGGAATATACCGAGGTGATGAAAGGAAATATTACAAACACTAACAATGGAGAGAAAGTAAGAGTATCCAAGAGGAATGAGAAAGTAGAAAAGTTGGTGGAAGATGATGAATGGTTCAATACTGGTCTCGTAATTTGTAAGAGTTTCTGGCCACTCTTTCAACTGATGAGGAATGCGGATAGTGAAGAAGCAACGACGTCCAAATGGATGTCTTGGATGTATGATGGGGACATGTTGCTAAAACAATACAGTGAAGATAGATTCGACAGCAAACTCAGTCAAATGGCCACGCGAGTAGCACAAAGTTTAAACAATAATACACGCGCGCATTGGGACTTTTTGAAGGACATACCGTATTTGCAGTGTAGCGCTTTGCTGGACCCAAAATAATGCTCCTTGGCAGCCCTGGACCAATTTTAAGTGGAGAGAGTCTATGACGCTTGTGTTAGAAGGTATTTGGCTTTCGGAACTGGAGACAAGATGCGATTGACACTAGGCCTTGAAAGGACGAGGAACTACCACAAGAGTCTGATGAGCAAATCGAAGAACAAAGGGAGGCTTTGCAACAAGCAGTAGATGACGAATCTACAGCATTCTTCCACAAACTTGGGGCATTCGCAAATATGGGGCGACTATACAAGAATAAAATGTTGGGACCAGCGGAATGGTGGCAACAATATGGATCTATTGGTGCCCCGACTATATACCAATATTGTATGAAATACTTCTGCCCCGTTAATGTGACAGTTCAAGAAAGACACTGGAAACTGTATAAAGATTGTTGCAGCAAGAAAAGTTCTCGATTGGGTGAACTGAGTAAAGCACAATATGACATGGTACACGAAGATGGCTACTCCGGACCAGTGCAGACTAAAGCATGCTTGCTCACGGAGGTACGCGCGAATCTACATCTGACGGATAATTACACGTGGCAAAAAGCAGGTACGAATAAAACACAAGTTCGAATATACATACCTGTTACGATCTCCACCTTCCTTTGACTTACTTGTATATTTAAATCAAATCTAAGTTACTCTATGTGCAGATGATGGTTCCTGGATAGATACTACGCGATTCAAGATTAGTAATAAGGACTATGGTAAATTCACCAGATCCTATATTAGAAATTATAATTTGAGCGAAGAAGACGATGAGAGTGATACTACGGCATCCAAAGCCCCAGCTTTGATTCAACAGGCGCGTAATGTAAACCAATACATAGAAATCTTTGAAACCTTTGCATTCCTAAAGTCAAATGTTGCCAACCGAGCTTCACTAACAAAGAAGTACAAAGATTTGGTTGTTGAGACAGGTGGAAAGTTGTACGTGATTGATTGTGCTGTGTGGGTGAAGATGAAGAGCTACCAAGTTCGCATCAGTCCGATAAGCCCCGAAGATAACTCAGTGGATAGATCGGACCCCATCAAACACCTAAGAATGTTGATTGATAGTGCACTCTGGGTATCAATCAAACGGGCAACGTGGAATGGATACAACAAGTCTATTGCCTTCATATCAAAGAACTTAACAGCTAATACGGTACGCCTAGAGCTGAACATTATCGTAGAAACAGATGTACCTGCAATCCAGCCTGCCGCCGCTATCCCTGCTATTGCTACTGTCGAGGCTGCTCCTGTCGCCGTTACCGCCATTGAAGCTTCTGCGGCTGTTGAAGCTCATCCTGATATTGAAGGAGCTGCACCTATTGCAGTGCCCGCTATTGTACCAGAACTATCTGCGCACGCACCAATAACTTGTGCTGCGCCTGCACCTATCGACACACACACTCTCCCAGCGTCACCAATGACTCGTGCGAGGCCACCCCTGCTACGTAAAAGAGCACCTTCTGCTCCTACAACGGACTACGCTGAGCTAATGAAAAGACCCCGAGTAGATGTGCATCAGTCTGAGATGATGGATCCAGGACCAGGACCAAAAGTTTATCACGATTATGAGGGATATGTACACCGTGACAGCTATCAGAACTACCCACTACCGTCGCAACATCGACACATCCCGCCCCAGCATGCTCCACCGACCTATATCCAATGTCGATGGGTCCTACTCCCCAATATATCACTAGTACCACACTTACAACTAATCAGTATGGGCCAGTGGCTGATTATTCACGCAACTATAATACATTTAATCCTCAATAAATCTCAAGTGTGTTC